ACCATTGAAGTCATAACTGTATATCCTTATCAACACTCATGAATTCTGGAACACATCCAGCCTCAGCTTGACCCATAGGATACGTTTCATTTCAAATCAGTATTTCCTTCTCGAACTACAAAAATCTTCAGAACATACACATCTCATACAAACTAATTGGTTACTATCCAGATTAGACATGTATTATCTTATCAAAACTCGTGAATCCCCATACAGAAATAACGCATCATTCATTTCCACATATGAATACAGTTATAACGGTAAATCCCCAGCAACTCTCATAAATCCTTATACAAACATGTCCTAATATCTCATAAAAACTGATCAGATACATTTCAAATCAGACATGTAATGTCTAATCTAAACTCTTGAATCCTTATACAATGCAATCCCGCATAAAACCTCTTAACACACCATTGGAGTCATAATGGTATATCCTTATCAACACCCATCAGTTTTGGAACACATCAAGCCTCAGCATGACCCATAGGATACATTCCATTTCCAATCAGTAATGTCTTTTCAAACCCCAAAAATCCTCAGAACTAACGCATCTAATACAAACTTATCAGATACCATTCAGATTAGGCATGTTTTGTCCAGAACTCGTGAATCCTTATACAGAAATAACGCATGAAACATCATAACATACGAATACAGTTAACGGTATATCCTTATCAACACTCATGAATTCTGGAACACATCTTACCTCAGTTTCACTGATAAGATACGTTTCATTATAGATCAGTAATTACTTATGAGAAATTTCGAATACTTGAAACCAAATATACCACATACAAACTCATTAGCAACCGATAGAATCAGGGCAGCAGTTCCCTATTGACTATCATAATTTATCGAACACTTTTTACCCTTACAAAAACTCATGAAATACGTTTAAGATTATATCTATATTGTCTTTTAAAAACTTATGATTACTCAATAATTATTTACCGCATCCAAGCTGATAAGATACCTTTAATTCTAGGACCGTGTTTTCATATTTGAGCTCATAAACCTAGGAACTAGTTCAGTCTTATGAACACTCATTGGACACATTTCAGATTAGGCATTAATTGTCTAATTGAAACCCGTAAATTCTCAGTTATTCTGAGTCACATGAATGCTAATAGAAGTCGCATCAAATTAGATAAGGAAATCCTTAGTGAAACTCTAAAATCCTGAACTATTTTTTTCCTGACGATACCCAATAGAATTCTATTTGTGAATTCCTACACATTTCTCATATATACTAAGGCGCATGAATGTTCATAGAATACTTTTCCAATTGGAAGTGGAATATCTTATTGAAGGTCATAGTCTCCCCAAACCACTTGTGCCTGATAAAAACTCTCATACTCCATATTTGTATACGCTTATAAATCACATATACTTATGAAATATCATCAAACCTTTCAGAAAGTTCATGTGCCAGAGATAATGTACTCATACGCTACAGAACTTGGTTATATATCCTTATTGATACTCATATTTCATCTATATTTCTTTATGAGACTTCATAAGGTATTTTTGGCAGGGATGCGACGTTGCCACTACTTCAAAATTTTCACTGCATTTTATTTCAAGTCACCACACGATTTCAAGTCACCCCATTCTACCTATGTAATTCTAAAAATGATGTAGTTTCACTCTGGACATTTTTAAAACTGGGTCAGTAAAATATAAAAAACAGTAAATTACCCAAAAAATAAACTGATGTATTTCCATTTTCATACAAATTCTGTATGTAGGTTAAAGCATTGCTATTGTTCCATATAAATGAATCATGACTGCTACCAGGATATCTTGCACACACATTAGTAATTTTTAAATCGGAATCACAAACCTAAAAAACTTTTATGTAGCACAAAATTAAAGTAGATTGTGTAATACTTACCAATTGTACATTAATCGAATGATATCCCTTTCTATTGACATAATGTACTTCATTTTGTATACAAGGGGGATAGATTGCAATATGTGTGCAATCAACACATCCCACAACACCAGGAAACCCAGTTTTTCTATAAAACCTAAACAAATCTTTATAATTATTTGATAAAAAAGATAAACTGAGTATGAACTTACTTATTGCGACACTCTCTTAATTCATTGAAGTTTCTTGGTAATTTAATGTACTCATTAAATAAATCAGGATTATTCAACACATCCGTTATTTCCCGAACGCAATTGCTGACAGAAGCTTGGCTTACACAATGGCTTAAGTTTTGGCCAATATCAAGTTGGTAGCTGCCTGTAGCGAAAAAGCGTAACGCTACTAAAACCTAAAATTCTATTTAGATTCTATATTCTTAATATTTTCAACCAAGTAAATTACCTTTCTAGCAACAGTCAACCCATATGATTTTATAGGGGCATCTATGTAAGGCTCCACTAAATGAATTAGGTCCTGCGTCAACTGCTTTGTCAACCGATAGTGCCTAATAAATTCAATATCGCTAAATTCCTCAAAAGGATTTCTTAATTGTTGGATTCGTCTTCTCCTCGGCCTATTTCCTAAAATTTCGGCCTCTTCCAACGCTGCTAAACCCGCTGAATTTATCATATTATTAAACATGTCTACTTTTACTATCTTTGTTTCTGTTAGGTTAGGAATCAAAATATCAAATATCAAACATTTAGTATGCGAATTCACCAAATTCGCACACCTTTGACCATGCGATGTATTTCCGCAGAATAAATTCGTCTACGAATATTTTTCGATTCCTTCAAAATACGGTTTATGTCATTTCATACGGAAATACCATAATTCCGTATGCGAAAGTCACTCGCATGAGTTAGAAAATAGCAGCCCTCACCTCATAAAAGAGTTTTTTTGTGAACTATGGCCATATAAATTAACATTAGCATTATCGTTATTATTGTTTTGAAATGAAAGGCTCACTTATAAAATTTGTGATTCAAGGTTCATAATAGTACAGTTTATAACAAAAACAGAGTTCTTCAGATGATTTCAGTGTGTATCAGCCTGAGGCATAAGCAACTGATTGATGACAGTTTTTATTTTGCTATAAATGTATTTCTAACCTACCTGTTGCATAATATAAATGGTCAGAAGCAGTTTCCTCATTTTCTCCCAGCAAAATCACTTCATTGTGTACATCTATCGAAACATTAGCAAACTCCTCCTCATTAATAAATGGATCTGGAAATTCAAAAAATGTTGATGATTCAGCTACAAGGTGTCCCTCAATTGCAACTGGAGCCATCATGTTAACAACTTGGATTTCTTCATTATTTAATAAATTTTCATTCGGGAGAGCTGGTCCTCCTCCTGTGGTTCTCTGATATTTCTTAACCTCTGCAGTTTTCCTTTTAGCGCTTATTTTGAGATCATGCCACGTCTAAAACAATTATTGATAGTGGGTACAACTGAAGAAAATCAGTTATTTCACAAATTCTTCAAAACTTACCTTTCTCCATTGCTGCCATGTTTTTTGAGCGCCAGGAAGAATGTTCAATGAATTTGTAATCGTTATCCACAGCTCCTGTGACTTTTTAAAAGTAAAAGTTTTGGTGAATTTTCCAGACCGAAGTTCTGGATTTTTATCCATAAAATTTATCAATTCCGTCTTTTGACTCGGTGACATATTTGCAGTTCTTTTTTTTTTTCACTCATTATCAATCACAAATATAAATCACGAAGAGAGAAACTCAAAGTCATTACCACAACAAGTTCATAAAATGAACTACAAAATGGTAGATAACGAGAGGAAAACAACTACTTTCCTGGCTATATGCCACGCAGAACATTGCATTACATCCTCCCGAAACCTATGCGATAGTTCGTATAAACGAATAAAATCGCAAGTGTTTCTTTCCTAAACGCTGAGCTGCGCTTAAGTGGTTCAGGAACGCTGACTACCTGCAGACCGGTTTCGAGCTCTTGGCTCTCATCAGTACAGGGCTGTCCCAGATAGCTTCTTGACCGCTATCTGGTGCGAACCTGACCCAACGTAAACACATCTCAGCATTTATACCATACGAGGCGTTCGAAGTCCGCGAAATGAAAACGCGAACGCCGAACGCCACCTGGCAAGGAAAGAAACACTCCAAAACGTTTTGGAGTGTTTCTTTCCTTGCCAGGTGGCGTTCGGCGTTCGCGTTTTCATTTCGCGGACTTCGAACGCCTCGTATGGTATAAATGCTGAGATGTGTTTACGTTGGGTCAGGTTCGCACCAGATAGCGGTCAAGAAGCTATCTGGGACAGCCCTGTACTGATGAGAGCCAAGAGCTCGAAACCGGTCTGCAGGTAGTCAGCGTTCCTGAACCACTTAAGCGCAGCTCAGCGTTTAGGAAAGAAACACTTGCGATTTTATTCGTTTATACGAACTATCGCATAGGTTTCGGGAGGATGTAATGCAATGTTCTGCGTGGCATATAGCCAGGAAAGTAGTTGTTTTCCTCTCGTTATCTACCATTTTGTAGTTCATTTTATGAACTTGTTGTGGTAATGACTTTGAGTTTCTCTCTTCGTGACCAATGCATTCCACTTTGAGATTTGGCTTTTTCCCTAGTTGAAATATAAATAATTATATGTACAATTATCAATACTAATTACTCCAACTATCAAACAACAAAATCTAAATCACATCACTGCCAGTTCAAAATAAAATTCAAAATTGACAATTGACATAAATAATATAGAGGTTTCGTTGGTATAGTTGTGGTAGAACTGCATTTATACAGCGTTGCCGGCTTAACTCATCCGAATATAGTTGTACGAGACGAATTGGTTTTCGCATGGCATCGAAAATACCGAAAACTACTGTCATGCGAAAAATTTCCGTATACGAGCATTCGCATGCGAACAGTTTCGCATGAGTTAGAAAATAGCAGCCCGAGCAATGTCAGTGGAACGTACAATGTACGTAAGGTAATGTACGCGTGCAAGTCACACAATACGTTACTGCAGTTTTGACATAACGTCAGCTCAATCAATTGTATATGCATAATATAATTATTTTAATCCTATGAAATGTCTTGTTTCGCCGATAATAATGAATTTGCATCATTATCTACATGCGGAGAATGCGGTTTGATGGGACCGTTAGATAAAGTTGAGCAACATTACCTCGATTCGCATTGCGTTGATGGTAATGACTCCTGCAATGAGATTGAATACACCGAAGACCCCCAACTCGAAGACCCAGAAGAATGCGAGACCGAGAATATTACATCTTTAGGTGAAAAAAGCCTTATCGCTCGGCCCACTAATAGGGGTCACAAGTCAGACGGAAGTAAGCAGGTAATAGAAATTCAGGTAATATCCTCTTTTCAATGTTGTGAATTGTTTTAGATAATGAATGGTGTGAAGCAGAGACCAGACTTCTGCTTGACAAGTATGAATCCTATTTGAAACACGTAGGACCGATGAAGAAATTCAAGAGAAAAAAGAATATGTGGCAACAGATATCCAAAGATATTGAGACTATATCAAATATTACAAAAACACCGACTCAGTGTGAAAATCGCTATAAAACAATATTGAAAAGAAAGAAAAAAGCTGTAGATAACAATAATCAGACAGGACGCAATCGAGTACCAGTAGAATACGAAGCAGAATTGGCAAAAATTGCTGCACTTGATGACAGCTTTGAACCCGAAGTACTACGAGATAGTAGAAATGTGAAAACGGCTGAAAAGCCAGGAAATGATCAAAAATCATTGAAAAGAAAAAGGGAAAGGAGTGTGCAGGAGGTATTGATGGATATTTCCAAGCAGAAAGAAGAGGCTAGGGAAAGAAGACACAAAGAAAAGATGAAAATGCTGGAAAAGTTTTTGGAACAGCAAAATAAATAAATGTTGAGTTACTTGAGTTAACACTAAAGGAATTTTTGATAATAATTGTTACACAGAACAAATATTTTTTTTAAATACAGGGTGTGCTCCAGATCGGTGCAAACCTTATAGGAGCTAACAGGAGATGTCATTTGGAACCAATTCAGCCACATTTATCTCTGTACAAAGACATACAAGATCATCTAGTTTGAACTATATTTAGATACGAAATTATTATTCAATAGAGGAAATACTTATCACTGTAACGTATTAGTAGAAAAACAAAAAGAAAAATTCACTATTATGTGTTCAAAACTTCATCAAATATTCCAAAATGATGATTATCTAGAATGCCAGTAGTGTATCAGGGGAGGTCCTGCGACAGTTTGGTAAGCTGTCCATCAAGTTCTCAAGCTGTCACAGCCAATAGGGGGGTCTAGTTGTGGTTTGTGCAGACATTCCGAGGTGCAGAAGTGTCGACAATGACCAGGAGGTGTTGTCACCGAAGATTTACCTTGTCACCTGTTTTTTCCTACCTGTCTTCCCTGTGTCACCTACTTAATTAATTGTTTTTCGCTCAAATCATCTGTTTTGCCTAATTTACTGGTTTCACCTTCTCAACGTGTCCCCCTGTATTACCTCTTTCACCTGTATCACCTGTTTCTTTCATTTTACCTGTTTCACCTGTTTACCTGATCTTCCCCTCGGTTATATTTTCCAAGTTAGTCCTACTGAATATCCCTGTATAATTAAAGTTCCAATATCTTGCTAGCTGACCTAGAGGTCAACACTTTTATCATGTTTTGTTTGATATGAGTGCAATCATTAATATTATGTTTATCCAGCTTCATATTATATTTTTTTCAATGTCATGCTGACAAAGTAGTCATGTGCAGATATTTTTACAAAATATTTGTTGATCCATCATCCTAGGATAGTATAAAAACTGTGATTTTATTATGCTTCAACATCAGGTGAATTGTGCAGTGGAAAAATGAAAATTGATTGGTAAGTGAGACTAATGATAACTCATAAAGATTGTGATTTGTTTATTGGTATAGGCTATGTGATTTATTATCAGAATAGCTATTATTTGTTTGGGTTTATGATCATGAAATGAATCCGAAACAGTGGGATAGGTCAATATTTATTTATTAACTATAATACAACACGGTATATGATTTTTGTTGGGAGAACATACAACTACACTACAATATTTTTATTACATTAGTGAGAGGGTTGTACCTTACTAAACGATCATGTAATATTAGACAATAGGCAGAAGTGTTTGCAGGAATATTTTGATTTGTTTCAAACTCAAGGCGAATATCCACACTACCTGCCTTTAAAGTTTCGTTTTGTCGACTACAATCTATTACAATTAATGGTGCTATGTCATGGAATTTAGATAGTGTTAGACAAGGTTCACCAGAGTTTTTGTAGTAATATGACTCTTGAAATCGTGCATACATCTCATATATAACAGAAAATTGATATTTATTGAAATTTAGATTCAAATTGTCATAGGGATACACTTCAGAGTTCAGGTAAAGTTTCATATTGGCGAGATTACAGTGATCGAATTGACATTCCATGAGTGACGCATAGTTGATTGTAACATGGGAAATTCGTGGAGTTCCCAGGAACGGAAGGCTATCTCTAAATCTCTCCCCTTTTCAATATACTTGATTAACCGCAATTTCTCCACATCTGCCTTTTGAACGTGTGGAATGCGCCATAGAATTTTCGTCAATTCAATTTTCGGTTTTTCTCCAGCCTTGGAGGTTATCGTAGGATTGATGTCATTGCTACTTCTGATGAGAACAAGTTCTTGCCGAATATTCACCAGAATTTTCTTGAAATCTTCGCAAAATCCCAATAGATGTTTGAGTGGTAGACAAACGCTAAAGTTCCCTTGAAGATCAACAATTTCCGGATGACCAAGATGATTCCAACGAGCATTTATATATTTATTGCATTCATTATTTGTATAAGAAATGTAGCCCTTCATAGCTGATGTGATTCCAGGATTACGAACTCGATCCACAACGGACCCACCAATTTCATATCGGATTTCATCAAATAGAAAAGCAATACCATTGTTGATGAAGTTCAGTGTAGCACTCACTTTATCTTCACTGTCAGTAATTCTACCTTCTAGATAAATGTAACTTTGTGATGGTAATGTGTAAATATCCTGCGTTTGAATCGGAACACGTATCTCGAATGACTTATTTAGGCTTGTATTGGCATATGGTGGATGAGAGTGCATTTCGCAATTCGTTATCGCATTGTCCATCATCACATGTTCACCAATATTCAAAATATTCAAACTCATGTTTGTTGTGTTTCACTTTTTCTTCCACAGGAACACCTTAGGAGAATGAGAAATCTTCTAAGACCAGAGTGGATGTCCAATTTTAGGTTATACCAAAATTCGTAAAAAGTCTTCGTTTTGTCTTTTATAATAATTTGAAACCGAGTGAAATGAGGAACTGTTGATTCTCAGGTGTTAACTGTTTGATGTCACCTTTCGGACTGATACTTTTGATTGATGGAGAACGCGTTTCCTGACCCATTGTTGATGATGACATTGGAATATTATAGCGAAACACCATATCCACTAGAGCTCTTTCAAGTGCAACCTGACTGTTATGACTTCCTTTTGGAAATTAATTAAGGTTCCAGTTTGATCTACTACTCTGAGAATTATTTCATCAATGTATTTGGAATTGATTGGTAGATAAATGACATTTGACACTTTCTCCACTATTCGAAATCCACTAGGCACTGATGGATAGAACATGTGCAATGTGTGAACGGAAGAGTTATTATTATATGAATTTGTTGTTAAATTACATTCAACACACACTGAATTCACCTTGGAAATATTAATTGGAAAATCTGATATATGTTTTTTATTAGCTTCCAATTTCCTCTTGCTGAAACCTAACAGAGTTGCTATCGAGTTAGGTTTATCAAAGTGTATGAGTTTGTTGCATGTTATCTCATACCTTAGAGTATTACGATTAGCATTCAATTTGAGCTGAATCTCGGTAGTTTTCTCCTCTTCTTTCATAATAGTATTCGAAATTTGAGCTTTTTTTCCCTCCTTCTCTCTATCTTTTTCATGCAATTCATCCAATTGCATCATAATATTCCGTTCAATGTCTTCAATTTCATAGGAACCTTCAGGAATAACCAATGTGTGCTTGCCAACATAGAATCTGTTATTTCTCCCATCAATATTGGGGATAGTGTTGTAGGTCACGAAGTCAATCAGACCTAAGACATGGGTTTTATCATCATCTAAAATGATAGGTGGATGGATTTTAGCTGATAATACAGAATCTCTGGCTGATAAGGTGAAAGTATATGAACACGTCATGATAGTGATAGAGTCATTGAAAGAATGAGATAAATTACGCTTATATTTTATTGAGAGAGAAATTTCAAACATAACTGACCGCAATTCACAGAATTGAAAGTTTGATATACAGTGTGATTATATAAAATATTACAAGGTCCATTGGAATTGAAGTAATCTAACGTTTCCAGTGGTGGTCGCAGATTACCATAGCTATCAAAATAGACGATTTGTGATCCAATTTTTTTGTAGGCGGTCCAATGCGTCCCCGGTCCATCTTTGTTATCCAAGTTTATCACGCCACGTTCTTTCCTTCTGATTCTCTTGGGAAGATCATTCCTCATAAATACACCCCTAAAATGGGGTATGTTGAGTTCTTTAACGTACTTCAGAATATCCAAATTGGATAGTGGGAAATTGAGTGGTATCCTCTTACGAGATTCCCTATGTTTATTCATCCTCATCTTGTTGATATCAGGATAATACTAGGATGGTTATCTCAAAAAAAGTCCCAAACCAGTTTTATATGGTCTCAACTACATTCCTTTTCCCATTGCAATAGCTTCCATTGTTTTATTATGTCGTTGGGATTCTTCCAATTGATTTTTTGCTGATCTGGCATCAGTGACAGCCTTAGCTACACCTGCAGCGCCACCTGTGATTGCCCCGAGAGCACTCAATCCCGCGAAAATCGGAATCAAGGGTAACAAGCCACCCCTCTTTGGAATTTTAACAATACGTGTTGGTTTTATGTTGAGTTTTTTCGTTGACCTCAAAGCAACCTTGACTGCATCACCTACAGTCTTAGGTTTTTGGGAGATGATATGCTTTTTAATTTGTCCGATTGCTTTGGCGAAGCATACCCCCTTTTTTATTAGTTTCTTCTTGATATTCCTCTTTTTATTATTCCTACGTTTAGTATTCCCTTTGGATCTCTTGCGAGCCATCTGAACTGTAGGAAACTCTCTCGTATACTGACTTTTTCTTTTAATCCTTATGAAAATTAGGTGAATTTGAGTTTCTTATTTCCGAGATCGTTGCTATCTTCCTCTTCTATCTCTGTATCCAAACTTCTCTTTCTAGAATTTGTCGTTGTGATATCTAATGGTTCACTCATATCACTTGAATGAGTGTCCCCCTTATCATCTAATGTTCTCAATCTCCTTTTCGCCTTTACCCCTTGTCTACGGTTGATCATATCACCGACCACATTTTTAGGCTTCTTATCAGGAATAATGTCTGAGATATCATCGTTATCCAATTTCCTCTTGTTTGCACATCTTTTATTCATGGGATAATCGTCAGCAATATCGATATCCATCAAGTCCTTCTTTCCTTCATTATCGTCATCATCATTCTGTGATTTCTTCTTCTCATTCATCTTTTTATGTTGTGCTATCCGTTCAGTTTGTTTAACAATTCTATTTGTTGAAATTCCTTCCTTCAGGATTCGCATACTGCTTTCAATATTTCCTAGAGATTTTTCTAAAATAACCTTCGTTCTTCTTAGAACTACCAGACATTTGTTGACAGCTTGTTGTTTTCGTTTTTGATTTTGTTTTTGATTTCCTATTCCCATTCCCAATTTCACTTTAGCTTACATAGCACCAGCAACGCCTAAAGCTGCTA